GATGACTTGTTAGTTATATTTTTTCTTACTTTCGCTAAAAAAGTGTTACTAAACATACAGTTTTTCAGATTTCATTTTCTTCAGCTTCACCATATTCAATCAATTCCTAGTTATTCTTTAAATGGTCTAAATACCTTGCCCGTCATCCTATTCCCTTGGAGAATCCATTTGTACATTTCTTATCGCGTAGCATTGTCGAAGGAACAATTAGGGTATTTCGTTACATGTCCAATGCTTTATGCGTTTTTTGTCGTATAGAAATTCAAATATTTATGTTCATCAGTTTACCATTATACTAGTTTTGTAAGATTCCCGTAAACCTATTCTGGTGTGCGCGCCTTTGTCAATGGCCTAGTCGTTTGATAATTAATCATACCCGATTAAGTTTTGGTTTAACATTTAAATCGAAATCTCTGTATAGAATAGCAGGGTCTGTGTTTCCATGTGTTAGGAAACTCTGATTAGAGACACACAAAACCAGTTGATTTTTGCCAGAAGGAGAAGTCATTGTCCGATAGGAAAAGAGTTAAATTTGGACAATTAATATACAACATAAATTATTTCCTGAGAATGGACACTTGAGTATCGCAAACTTTTCATTTGTATTCCATGTGGTCAGGCATTAAAATGTTTTTGAAAACTTTATGGAAGATTATGTAGTGACATTTGGAGGATAACATTTTTAATATTGCGATACTTTTTTTTTGATTTGGCGAGTTAATCATGAAGGTTCCAACACGTTCTTTTCCTCGTATACAGGAAAATATATTCAAGCTGCCAGGTATGTTTTAAGGGTCGACTTAACTGCAAGATATCTCGACTTTTTGCAGAAATGTCATTGGTTTGAAATATTCACATGAGAGTTATTGACGTCTGTATTTTATCTTTCTTCTTTTTAAAATCAGAAATAAGTATTTTATCTAAAAGAAAACGCTTTGAAAACTGTTAACTGGCTTGCAAAGTCATAGGTCTAGGATAGAATAAATAAATTGTCAAAAGTAAAAAAAATAGCTTTAATTTCTTGGTGTTATCTGTTTATTTGTATAAAGAGTTTGTAATTGTAAAGATTTGTAATATGTGAATATACCTATAGTGATAAGGCAAAAAAAAAATGCGCACTTTCAGAAAAATTAAACATGATAATTACAACAAAATATTTTGAATTTATCTTTACAGCGAGTCTCAAGAGATGATTTTTATCAAGGAATCCTGAACAGATGTTTAACCTTTAAAACTCCAAATATCTTTGAATAAGCATTATGTAGAACATGTAAGCCCTTCTTTTATATTTTGGTGATGTTAATCTTCAATAACACAAAAAATATAAAAGCCCGCCGACCAAGCTATAAGAACAGTATTTAAGTATTGTGGTGTGCCTAAATGCACTCCTCATGCGATTTTTCTGTTTCTAATCTTTTACCTACGTGACAATAGTTTTTTTTTTCTTTGCATCGATCGTGTAACTCACATACAAAAGTCATATGTTAAATATATTTTAACGTTAATTTCATGCTTAGATTATCAGAGTTGTTTATTTTAAACGAATTTCAGACAGACACCTTTTAATCCGACATATATCTCAATACTTCCATGTAGCAGAATTGTTTGATCGAAAGTACATGAACAAATAATATGAACAGATATTGAATACTTTCGCAAGTTATAGCATCACAATTTTTGTGATACATAATTTGTTTTGTTCTATCTGGTTATTTAGAGAGTAAAAAATTTTCCTCATAAACATATTTGAATTCTGTATCATCACAGCTATCATATACATTTATTTACTAAATTTTGAAATTAGTAAGTACTTGATGTTATAACATCAATTGTCTAAGTGTCAGATGGCTTTTAGAGTCCTTGACCTTGTCAATAGTTCAGAAAGGTTAATGTCAAGGATTTGTAATTCATGGGTGGATTTTAATCGCTTATCGTCCTTGATTAAAGTCCAGGTTTGTCTTTGTTTCTTATCATATGATTTGGGTTAAATTTCACCTTGCAGTATCAATTTTCCAAATAAAGAAATCTATATGTTAGTGATTTGTTGCAGTCTTCATTATGCTTTAAAACATTTTTTGATATCATTTCATTTAATCAACGATTCATGATCACGTACTTTACGATCAGATATTGAATACTACAGCTATGCAGGTTAAACAATTCACTGAAAAAGCCAAACTTTTATCATTTTTTATTTACAATTTTGTCCTTGAATAATTTTTTCAATAAATATTTTCAAATGGGCGTGCTTTATAGCAGAGCGCCATACACTATGACTATACCTAGTTAAAAATAAGTCACTTAAATTTATTAAGCAAATTTGGCATCGAAGATGAACGTAGAAGTTATTGATTAATCATCTTAACATCTAATTTTTTACTTAATCCTGGAAGATATGATCAGCAAGTAATATTACTCAATATAACCGTTTTCCTTTTCTCATTCTAAGGTGGAGATCACATTGACAGCCGAGCTGTAAGACAATATCTCAGTCAGCTGGAGGTCTCGCTCAAGATGGGTAGATATGAGTTTGGTTCGGCGAGGCTGACTGATACACGAACAGCAGACCGACCTTTTAGTAAACTTTCCTGGCACGAGAAAGATCTCGCAAACTTAGACAAACGTTCACGGTCAAGAAGTGCAAGTCGAAACTCTGGATCTGTGCTGAGGTCTCGACCTTCAAGCTATAAAGAGGACTCTCATGGACAAAATCTTAGCCGCTATAGTAGCGCCAGTCATCTAAGCGCGTCTGAGAAGCTACTTATGGATGCAGATCGTCCAAGGCTGCTCCATCGTGATAATATAGATAGAAAATTGAAAGTTTCGCCTCCTTCTTCTGAGGTGAATTCACATAGACGACATGTAACGGTTGAAATAAGAGTTGAAGACGGCATTGAAAGGCCACAAGGAATGGATATGGAGACGAGAGATGCCGATCCCCAAATAGATAGCTTTGGTGACGAAATTCGTCAAACGGAAAGTTTACCTGTCGGGCAGGAAACTAAGAGAACTCAGTTTGCAGAGCAAACGGAAAGTGGCCCAGCTGAGTTATTCAAACGGTATAGCAGTGCAGGTAGTTCTCGATCATCTATTTCACGACAACAAGATAGGGGATTAAATAGGGGAAACAGTGCTAAAAGCTACCAGAGTTCTCACGTAACAGGTTACAGTACACACTCTAGGACTAGTGTACGAAGTAGTTATTCTCGAAGAAGTGCTCCTGGTCCGCATGCAATCACGCCAGGGAATACTAAATCGGTCACCGCGGGACCGAACTCGACTTTAGACAGTCTCATTCCACGATCTCCCCATGATCTAGTGAGAAATGTACACCACCGTTCTGCATGGTATCACGTACCTGGTCGCTATGCTACCTCCCAGAAACCAATTCCACCTAAACGTTCACAGAAAACACCAGAAGCAAAGGAATTAGAACATCGACTCTTTGGAAGTAGAAACTCCAGTAGGGAAACACAACAGACTTTATATCGTAAATCTCCTCCTAAGGTGAATAAACCAAGGCCTATTCAATCCAGAGACATTAACAAAGAGTTTGGAATGACTGTTAAAGGGATAGGCCCAGTGATTTCTAATGGTTACTATAGTAGTCCTCCTCATGACTATGCTGTTGAGTCCTATGTTGATGATGATACTGAACACCATAATACAACTGTTAAATTTAAAGAAGCCGTATATGTGGAGTGAGAGGGTGTGTACGTACCGTATCAGATATGTTGAATTTAATTAATATTTTTTACCTCTAAGAGTTATATCACTTAATAATTAAAATATATCTTTATAGTGTTGCTGACATACATTAGGATGTATTCTTAATGTGATATATAAATTGGATAGACTTAAGCTATGAATGAATTATTTGATAAGAACGAGATCTGACATCTTTTATAATTTAGCTTTACAACAAATTTTCATGTTTTGTAACTTTGAGGAAATCGATTTCAGTGTATTTTTTTTTCTTTGTTCAAGTTTCAACAAACTGTCTGTGATAAATATACAGTTACTCCAAATATCTGCTGATTGCTGCATTTAAAGTCATTTGCATATTTGATAATAGATATACATGCATTCAGCAGTACTTTCAGGAGAGCGAGTACGACGTTTTCTGTACTTCATTGATTTTTCGGGAAATGAAATGTTGAAATATATAATTTTTCCAGATAATACAATGTTGTTATGGGCTGATTTATTGCTGAATGTTCCCGCATCCTGCGAAAAATGTTCAAGCAACAATGTTTAAGAAAATAAATATTCACCAAGTGCTACTGGATACTTTGCAGTTAATTTAGCAGCTATGGTATGAGTGACATCACTCTGCTCTCCATTTATCTTGATTTTAGATTAAGAAGTTTCTCATTTCTTATCTTTTTACAAATGCTTTCAGGATTTTCAAAGCATTTGTGAATAAGTGGTTGTGCTTGTAATCTTCTATATATGTCAACTTTTATACTATTATATGTTATTTTTTGTAGTATGTGGCGAAATAAATTGTTATCCTTATTTAATGCACTTTTTTTCAAGGTCTTTTTACATGTACTAGCACTTTTTTAAAATTATGAATTTGTTATTTCAGACCTATTGTGGTAGTCGAAATTAGAAAGTCAAAATTTCAAATTAATATAACTTTTACGACAAAATTAATAATGAAACTATATTTGCATCATTTGTTGGAATTTGAATATTATACATAACTGTAAAAGTTTAGGAACATATGTTAAAAAGGCTTAAGTTATTCAGAATCAAAATGTTGACTTAAGTCTATGGTCATTGGGCATATATGACAAGTTGATTTACGTACATCTATTTGCTATAGAATTGATACGCAGCTGTTTTCTAAGAGTGGGAGTCACATATCTTTACATGAAAAATGACAAAAGCAATTTCTTCATGTTTGAGAATTATATAAACTTTAACCTCCTTCTATAACATATATATATATATATATATGTATTCATATTTGGTTATTGATAATGAACATCAAGTTTCTTTATTTGTCAAACAAACTTAAAGCTTTAATAAAAACAAAATGATCGAGACAAATATAAGACACAAACTTTACTAGCATTGTTGAAATGAAGATTAAGAATTGTTTTCATACTTTCAAGTCGTCACCCGCGTGGAGCAGTGATAAGAGCGTCTGCTCTAGAGTCGCAAAGTAAGGTTCGAATCCCACTGTGGGACGTGGAGACCTTCGGATGAGGCCGTGAGTGCCAGGTTTTGGTCAAAATTTGTAGCTCTCCATCGGCATATGGTAGCGTGTCCATATAGAAAAAAATCCTGAGAGGGGTTAAACAGCATTCAAACAAAACATACTATCAAGTTCCTTATTAAACTCAATACCACAATCTACGGGCATCTCTCCTTTGTCCTGAAAAGTAATCTTCAAATTTGTTTTTGTACTCGTTGCCTTTTTCTTCATTTCCTATAAAATAAAACATATTTGCAACTATCTCAAACATTTCCGGAAATTCTTCTGAAAGTTTTTCAATTGCAGTCAAATACTTGCTTATTGGATAGGTAATACCATCTAAGCCAGAAATATAATAAACGTGAATATAAAAATGAAATAATCTCCTTTTGAGATTTCTCTTAGCAGTTTTTTGCTCTGACATGATTTCCTCCCTCAGTTTTGTATCTTCAATATTCTCAATATTAACCAATTCTTCTGAAATAGCACGGTCCATACAACGAATAGCTGTATCAACAGCAAGTGTGGCCAAACTGATATTTTCCATTCTGTATTGGGATAAGCTCAGTTCGTAGAAGAATGAAGCTATTAACGAGAAGTCTCGATTTTTTTCTGTAGGAATTCTCATCCAAGCTATTCTGAAGTCAGCTTTCCAAGGTACTACTTCACCGACAATTTTGAAACTCTCTTTTGAACCACGCTTAAAAATCTCAGTTTTGTTATTCCTATCAAACATCTGACCCAAAATTCCTCTTGATGTTTTTTGCTTAAATTCACGTAATCCCTTAAGAAAGAAGTCCAAAAAGTTTGGTGCCTCGAAGTTTCTTTTTTCATTTTCTGGAGAAACTTCTAACATTTCTTCAAACACTTCTCGAATTAATCGGAATGCTGTTGAATAAAACCCAAGACGACAGAAGAATTTTGAAACTCGAAAGGTAATGGGGACAAATTTTTCCTGGTACATTTCATGCAAGTCTCTAGATTTTGTAAAATCTTTGCATTCATTTAAAACTTGCCTATTTAGGTTTCCACTAAACGTGTAACCGTGTCTTTCTGAAATAAAGCCTACCACCATGGTTGGAAACAGTCTAATAGCCTCCATGTAGACACGTATTTTTTCGATCTCTTCCTCAGTATAATGATCTATTAGGTTGTTTGATGATACGAAATAATGTGGGAAATATTTTCTTTTGAGATAGAAAATCAGCAAGGAAAGCGTATGCAGTATGCATCCAGCAAGATTTGTCTCCCATTTCTGCTGAGGAATTCCTTCGCATGCATTTAAAAAAACTGAAAGAACATGTTTTCTTTTAAGTCCTTTAGATAAAACTCTAGTAGCCTCTTGAATTATAATTTTAAGAACATGATACCCATGGATTTGAAAGTTGTCTAGGGTTTCCCAGAAAAGATAAGAATACGCCATTGAGAAATCAAGCTTCCATCCAATATCAGAATGGATACTTGATGGATGACACTTTTGAATCAAAGTGCATGTACCTTGGCTTACAATTTTGGATATTATAAATGGAGGAGGCCAGTCAAATTTTCTCTTGCGCTGAACCCATTCTCTGGCCACAGTGGGGAATGTTTTGCAAACAAATCCAAAGAAACATTGCCGCGTATATGTAGGAGGTGTTATTCCCACCGGTAACTCTTGTTTTGTGAGGAACAAACCATCATTTAGTTCCGAAACTTTTTTCGTTGTGAAGGATGTTCTAGTGTCTAAAGGTCGTAACCAGCAATAACCTGGATGCGTTCCGCTGCAATCAGCATGTAAAACGGATTTTATATCTCCACTACCATGACCAGTAGTTTCGAATTGTATGTCATTGCTAACATGTGCTGCAACCACAGAGGGACCTTTACGTACAAAACTGCACTGATATCTTATTATTTCTCTTTCTTGCGAAATGTCTTTTAAAGCAACATTGTCACCTGTGGCAAAGGTACCAATACAGTGAAACAATTGTTTTTCATTTTTTCTAGCTCCACCTACATTTGAGTACTCTTCAATCAGTTCTTTTGGGAAGCTATTCTTTATGATAAATCCCAAATGCGGAAGGGGTATTCCAGTCAAAGCGTCGACATACAATGGATCTTCAATGAGACACTCAAGTGAATCTGACGATTGAAAAAAAAATATCAAATCATAAAATGGAACAAAGGAAAGTTTACTCTTGTTAAATGTATGAAATAATTATTTATCAAATAAAAGAAACAATTAAGTTAATGACATGACATTCCTATCAGATCCCTCATCATCTGATCATCACCCAAAATCAGATTTGGGTTAATTTTGGTTACAAAACAAACAAACAGACTTGCTCTTTCAAAACACGCTTTTGTAAAATATTGTGAATACTACATGGCTGACGAGTCTGTTTAGGTTAAACGTGCTGAAGAACATACATTGTTGTTCATATTTTTGTTTACATTTTTTCGGAATAAAAGGGCATTTTTTCATTAAAAACTGAAACAAGTAATAAGAGCCAAAACCGTTTCTTGTTTGTTCTCTTTACGTATGCAAAAGAATGTGTAATCAACATTACCATCTGTATCTTCATCCTGGAGTTCTTCTAAACCATAGGAGTTGAACATAGAAATATAACTTTTCTCCTGATGGAACGATCTCGCCGAATTTTCTTGGTCATCTCCATCCGTTGTATCTAAAGAAATCGTCCCTGTGGACAAGGATAAGAAAAATTCTTCAAGTCCAGGCTCCATAATGCTTCCGATGATGCCAAACTTCTGAAATCTTTCAAATTTCTCTGAAATGCCATGTGGAACACTTCTGTTTGCACAGAAATGAGTTCTATGAAGTAGCGCTCCTAGAAAATTAACAAAAATACATGTACCATATAAACAGAAATTCTAGTGGGGTTCAGTGTTGGTATTTAAGCGAGAGTTTTGAGGGGTAAAAACTGAATTGTGATATTGATATCAATTCAATCAGCAATGGAGAAAACTGTTTTAGCGCTAGTATCGCAAAATCGCTTAGATAATTTCTCTTTGGTAAAATTTTACAAAAACGTAAGAAAAAGAGGTGATATCATCGCTTTTTTTCACTTATACGGCCATTCATTTAAATGTACTATTATATAAATTAGTCAAAGTTTTCGAATTTTATAAAATAAAGCTATATATTCACAATACGTACTATACGGCCAAAGTTTTTCCCATTTCTTTGGACGAAGACTAACATAATGAAACTCTCCTAAATGTCCAAGGTAAATAGTCAATGCTGGGAACGAAACATCTTTTCTAGAGGACTTCACTTCTGTGCGACGAACGTCGTCCTTATAAATATTAAAAACAACAGCCTCCAAATGAAGTGCATCTACTATTGCTTTTAGCATTATGTGATCGCTCCATTCCATCAGGTTCGAAATCCTTGTTAGGTATTCTTCCCAGGTTTCAGTACTTAGAAAGGATTTGATTGGGCAACCATCTTCCTGCAAAGGATGATCCATAAGATACCTAGAAAAAGAAAAAAAAATAGAGCAAAGTTCGTTGCAAAGCAACGAGTAGGTCTTCCGTCCTGTTTTGACCGACAAGTCGACAAAAGAAAGCAATGAGTTCAGGCCTCTCCAGTGACTTTATAATATTAATTTTGCGCAATACCTGCAAAACTGGCTATTTTTTGGTTACTTCCGGTTTGACCGGAGATGGTGTCCAGGGATGAAGAAATTGGTTGTATTCTTCTAGTGCCACAAGTTAACCAAAACATGTCGAAAACCGAAAAAAATGCATTTCTTGACTACTTCCGGTTTGGACGAAAGTGACATTAGTTGACGACTTTCGACAATTCAGGCTTCATTTCCGACTGACATCGAAGTCACAAGGCAAGAAAAACTTTTAAAAACTCAAATTAAACCATATTTTTTTTATCTATTTCTTTTGATCAAAAGAGAAAGTTTACTTTTTCGTCAACTTCCGGTTTACACTGGAAGTTACTCTAATGGATGCGTTTTGTTGAGGAATGTAAATGTGAACATAAGTTCTATTTGCCTTTATTCAAAACGGTTGATTTTTTTCAAAAAAACTTGATATTAAACATCACTTCCTGTATTGACCGGAAGTGGCAGATGCAAAATCTAAACTCATGCAGAAAGATGTTTTATCACCCCTGAAAATATTGTGATTCAATATTGAGAGGTTTACAAGAAGATGCGTGGACAATATGACAATTTAAAAAAAGAAAATCGTACAAAAAATGCGACCGGGAGTGATTCTCAAAAAAAAAAATGGTCTGGAGTTATAACAACAATGCATCATTCCTGAAAAAAAATCTTTGAAATCGGTTCAGTAATTTCCGAGAAATCACGTGTACTATGAAAAGGGAATAAAAATAATACTATGAAACATAAAAAAAACATTCATATCTTCTGAAGGAAGTCGAAAGACCTTAATAAATACAGGAAGAAAATTAATATAAAAAAGAAACGTGTTCATAAACAGATAAGAGAACTGAAATAAGCATTTCTTAAGTTTTGAAAAATCTCTCTTTTTTATTACAATTTGCAGAAACTTAAACTTTTTCCACTTCTCACAGTATGTAAATATGAAAATGTATGTCTACTTTTAAGAGCAGGCTCAATATTTTATCGGATTTGGTGCCGACAAAATGCGCTAATTTATAAATTCCCCTAAAAATCATTTACTTATACAATGTTTGGCATGAACATGTTTCACGCTTACTCATGATTAGGCCAAAAGTCCAATACCTGTTGATTTTGCTAAATTTTGAATACACCAATTTATGCATATGAAGTAAATTTTACTATGGTTCTTACTGAACTGTCATTTGTCGAAGTGTCTCCGCTGTATGACCAAAGTGACCATTTATTGTTAGTTGGTCAGTTATTGATCGGAACATACAACTACCGTCAGGTTTTCCATTCCACAACTCAAAATGATTATCTGTTGCAAATTTTCGGATTGATTTCAAGAAAACTGGCATATTCATATACTGTTCCACACCCTGACCTGCAAATGTATAATTTTTAATGAGACGATTTTTTGATTTTGGAAGTTAATTTTACACAGACTTTACAAAGAATGTACACAGACAGTAAAGTTTCTTATCTTGATTGTCTGAAAACTCACTGTATCTTCCCTCTGTGGGTGTTGAACCGTAGCGATCGAAACCTCCATGAACAAACTCACTATCGGCTTCCTTCATCAGACGTCTATTACAGGACACTTGGTATTCGTCATCACTATCAAAGTAGTCTGTAGCATCGCCTTCATCGTCAGAGAAATCGTCACCTTCACCCACGGAAAGTGAATTGTGTGATTCTTCTTTTCCAGGGTACAATGTGCTGGAATCAATAGCAGGTTGTGCAAAGTTCTGTACAGACTCACTATCTTCTCGCGGTTGCAATGAATAATTCTCGAAGAATTCTGCTTCTTTTAAATTATTTTTTAGTACCTCATCATTATTTTCAGTTACGTCTTTGTCTTCATAGGTTCTCTTCACCCAAATGTTGTTTAGAAAATTGGAGGATTTTTCGGTTGTTTTTTCATACAAGTTGGAAGTACACACGGTATCATGAGAGTCTTGTACATTATCTTTTTCAGACCCATCCATATCTTTCTTTTGCATCAAAGCATATTATATTATTTGAACATGTTCACTCATTTTTATATCGCAAATTTCCTCATTCAAAAGAAGGAAGGAAATAATTCCGATAAATAAAAAAAAGATATCTAATACATGCTATTTTTAAAACAAATGAATCGATGTATTTTTTCAGCATTTTCACAACAGTATTTGAAAAAAGAGCATTTTTGCACATTACGTAAGTATTAATCAACACAATTTATAGAAATGACTTTTTTTTTCTTTCAAATTTAAAATTGTATCTTAAGGACAGATGATACAAACAAATTTTTTCTTTGAAAAAGATTTAATATCATGTCACCAGTTTAGAAAAATAGATGGTTCTTAGAATTTTTTCTCCTAAGAACTGGAAAATGAAATAGACTTGGAAAATATTAATAATATTTCAATAAAAAAAACAACTATAGACAAATCACATTCAGTAAAGGTTTACAGGTGAAAATAAATTTCAGAATATGTTATCTTGGCGCTAAAAGTGTAATATAAACCTTAGAAAAATATACCAAGCCAAATGAAGTTTAAGAGGAAGATCAAAATGACAAAAAATTAGCAACATCACATAGGCTGATTTTTACCATTTAGCTTTTCCTAATAAAATTCACCTGGCTTGGTATATTTTTCTTAATTTTATATTACACTTTTAGCACCATGTTAACATATTCTGAAAATTGTTTTCACCTGTAAACCTTTACTGAATGTGATTTGTCTATATTTATTTTTTCATTGAAATATTACTAATATTTTCCAAGTCTTTTTCATATTCCAGTTCTTAGGAGAAAAAATTCTAAGAACCATCCACATTCCTAAACTTGTGACATGATTTTAAATCTTTTTCAAAGAAAAAAAAATTGTTTGTATCATCTGTCCTTAACATGTGGAAGTTAAAAGAAGTGGAATTATATAATTATTAGTTAATTATCAAGTAAAATATTCATACATGCACCATATTTGTATGGTAGGTGTCAATTAATAACAAATGTTAATCCCCTTTGTCAAGAAAACACCTTGCATGATAATTTTCTCATGTGTTTATGATTTTATCTATAAGTTTGTTTTTATCTATGAAATGATGAACAATATCTTAGAGCTTTATACTTGATTGATAAATGAACAAGATGAAGCAGAGTAATAAATGGGTAGGCTTTACCTGATTGGCTGAATTGAGGTATGTAAATATTTTCATTTTAAAGCAAAAATATTAATGTTTGAAATAAATGATGGAACCCAATAAAGCTCAATGCGAATATTTCGCTTAATAGGAAAAAATGAGGTATTTCTTTTTGCGATTTATCCCTTCAAAAAGTCGCACAAAAAATCAAATAATGAGGCCAACCAAAATTATTTTCATTTCATAAATGAAATTGTGGTAAAACAGTTTGATATGCTGAAAAAAAAAGAAATACGGAAATAGCAAACACGGGCCTTCACAATATCAGTGCCATGGAAGCGTAAGCATCCCCTGTCGTTCGATAACACCAGGGGGAACAATTTCAAAATATTTTCAACAAAAAGGTTATATAAATCACGCCCTTGAACGTTGCGGAGCACCGATTAATAACACAGACATCGCATCAGGAAAACACGAGAATAAAGTCTGAAAATGATTAAGGAAGTAGGAAATGTATCAAAAATTAACCAGTGTGTCTGTGTGTAATATGCACGACCTTTTATTTCGTAGAAAATTCCTTTATTTTTTGTATCAGAGAAATTACTGTCTTTGAGGAAATAATAACTATTTTTAGTCTTCGAAACATCGGTGAAAGAGTTTGAAGATTTCCTGGTGTGGTTCTCATTAAAGCAGAGTGACACAGCAAAAAAATATTAATGAAAGTAAAAGGACAACAAAGCTAGATCCACTCCAAAAGTAGCTCACTTGATGAAAAATAGATCAAATTCATGCATAATTTAAAATAAATCGTATTGATTCACTTGTATTTGAATGGTACAGAACGAATTTTTTATATAATACTACAATCTTTAAAGTTAATTTTATGAAATATGTGTTAGAATCAAACGGAATGAAATTTCATGAAAACTTATTTTTACACATGATAATATGCTTAGCTTGATTTTCATGAATATATAACATTATAACAAAAATTAGTCTAGGAAATTTTAAAATAGACATCATTTACATCGTTTTTCAGTATGTATATCGTCAAATCGGTTGTTTTACAAGAGTGGTGCGGCTCAAGGTGTTCGAGGTTCTAGTATAGATAGTTTTCAGTAGACCAAAATGTACAAGAGTTATTTCCCGTTGGTCGTCGCCATCTTGGTGGTCAACCCGGTAATTGTCTCTCTTTGTCCTACCAAATGTAAGAGGGTGTACTAGAAATATTGGGGGGGGATCCTTATTGAATAAAAATTATGAAATAAAGGAGGCTCTAACAAATGTATATTTTTAACCAAAAAACCAATGCTTCTTACCCCACAATTTCCAGTATAAAATGTTAAAGTTAATTGAATAAAGAAGGAATTATGATCATCTTGACACCCAATATGGCGGCCAACGGGAAATGACTCTTGTTAATTGGTCTACTGAAAACTATCTATTGCATTTCTTTATCATAGTCAAAACCATAACAGAGCGCTATCATATGCGCGTAATCAGCCAATTTATAACAGAACATTTTGTCTTTCTTAGGCCACCTTCAGAACAATGTTTTCTTGCCCTCTCCCGATTCGGTTTAGAAATATTTGGTCGATAGGTAGGTGAGAAATTTTTATGCTAGTACAGTTTGCACCTGATCGCACTAGTCTTGTTGCAAACCCATCGACCTTATGTTAACGTTCTCTTACAAATAATGTACATATTTGTATAATTTTGTTTTTAGATTTTAAATGCTAGTCTTAAACAACAGATATATCATGCCAGGAACAAAGAGATTAGAGCCAGCGACAACAATAACACATGGTGAAAAAGAGGTGGGTATTTAAATTATATTTTGCTTTCTTAGCTTGTTAGTATGGAAATTAATATCGTAGCGGTTGCAGAAAAAATGCGTATTTTAATGCGTCTATATATATTCGTCTGCCAAATATGCCGACGTACTGAACTGTATTTTTTGATAATTTTTTTTATACATACAGACAAACAAGGAAATCATATTTTAGCGTGTAAAACAAGTCCCAGAATTATTAAGTAACAATATCCGTCCTTCTTTTGAATAAGGAAATTCGTTTTGAATAAACAGTAATGATATTTTTAATATAAATTTACTAAAGGTGAAGGAAAGAAATGGACGTATCTGACAAAAATGATGTACTAAATTCTTCTACCGCAGTGTATGTTGCCCACTTGTTTGAAAAATCAACCGAAAAATCATCGAATTTCCTCAATAATATTTGGACAAAGAGGACATCTAAAGAAAAACATAAAATTAAAAATGAGAATGTGGACGAGGTACTTAACAATAATTTAAAAGAAACAGAATTCTTCGAGAATGATCCATTGCATCCGCCAGATGATAGTGTTTCTGAACCAAATCATGTGCAGCCCTCTATTGATCCTAATGAAATGACCCTTGGAAAAGGAGAATCCAACAGTTCACATGATTTCCCCAAGGAATGTGATGATTTTTCTGACGATGAAGGCGATGCTACAGACTACTTTGATAGTGATGACGAATACCAATTGTCCTGTAAGAGACGTCTCATGAGTGATGCCGATGATGAAATCGTACATGGAGGATTCGATCGCTACAGTACATCACTCACAGACGGAAGATATAGTAAGTGGGTTTCAATACAATAAAGATAAGTACCTGTAATGTCTATGTTCTGTGAAAAATGTTTTTTTCATTCCAGTCAAATTCTGTTCAAGGTATTTTTTTAGTGCATTAATTTTTCCCAATTCTACAATAAATTTATTTTTTAAAATGAAACTTTTTCAGGCCAAGGTGTGGAACAGTATATGAACATACCAGTTTTCTTGAGATCAATTCGAAAGTTTGCTACTGATAATAATTTCGAGCTGTGGAATGGAAAAACTGATGGCAGTTGCATGTTCCGATCAATTGCTGACCAGTTAATGATTAACGGTCACTTTTGGCATACAGCAGACACGCTTAGACATTTGGCTATTGAGTAAGAAATTTTTCATTGATTTAGTTTATTTACATATTACTCTGTGAACTTTCATTTATTATAGAATAAAATGCTTTCTTTCTTTGTTAGTATGGGAATTAATGTTATAGCTATAACATAAAAATACATGGCCCATGTAAGCAAGTTATATAATTTTTTCTACAATAGCTGCAACGATACAGATAATGTCCGTACTAGCAAACAAGCAAAGTCATCGTATTGTGTATTCTTGTGTTTATGTTAAACATATGAAGTAGAAATAAGCATGTAAACAATTTTGTCATTGATAGGCATGTCATTGTATGTTTAAGTGACAGTAAATAACTAATTAAAACATCTATAAATTATCTCGCTCAGCTTTGTTTATATACTGATGAATACATGTAATCAGACAATCTTTAGATTATGTAAACATTAATTTTTTTACAGCAAAGTGAGTATCATAAATTGTATCAAAATATTTGTTATTTAAATTTAATACTGATCGAGTTTTCAATGTTCTTGAAACATTATTCAGTGTACACATTTTCTTTCCTGTATAGGTATCTCAAAGAACATCCTTTGCAGGAAGACGGTTGTCCTATAAGATCTTTTTTAAGTTCCGAAACTTGGGAAGAATATCTGTCAAGAATGTCAAATCCAAAAGAATGGAGCGATCACATAATGTTGAAGGCAGTAGTTGACCTTCTTCATCTTAATGCCGTTGTGTTTAATATTTATAAAGATGATGTTCGACACACAGAAGTGAAATCCTCCAGGAAAAATTTTCCATTTCCGACATTGACCATCTACCTTGGGCATTTAGGAGAATTTCATTATGTCAGTCTTCGTCCAAAGAAATGGGAAAAACTTTGGCCGTACAGTATGTACTTTTGAATATTTCTAATTTAAAGCTACTTAATTAAAAATTGCAACATTTTACATGAAATTTAAATGCAAAACACAAAGATTGGTTTTGTTCATTAACAATTTCATTCATTTTCATTTTCTCTGTAATTTCTAGGAGCCCTTCTTCATCGGTGCCTTTTCTATGTAGATAAAAGTTACCCATTCAAAACTCCAGTGGAAGCTTTTGAAAGGTTTAAAAGTCTTTCTGTCATTAGAAATTTCGAGGACCCTGGATTTCAAGAGTTGTTCCTATCATTGTCGCTAGAAGGGAACTCTAAAAATCAGAGGTTTGGGGATTTGGAAAAACAAGAAGAGTCAGAAAGATCAATTAATCTTGAGAACAGTTATTTATCTATGTTCAACTCCTATTGCTTAGATGAGCTCAAAAGCGAAGATACAAATGGTGAGATTAAATTCATACCCTTTATTTAAAAATATCTAATTGTTTTATAAATGGTATTTTCAAAGTTTGAACTTAAAATTATGTTTATGAAATAATTCACATCTATGATGTGAAATCCGCAGTCAACAAAAAAGGTTTTTTTTAATTGGAGGTTTGAATCTTTGCAGAAATCAATTTTATTTTCTTTTTTTCGCCTCATTAACTTAAGGTGAATAGAAAAGCTTATTTTTCATATAATATATATCAAAAACGTACGATAAACCTTAATTGTAGGACTGCCTTTATGGTAAGAGTTTGCATGGTATTCATTTTTGTATCCCTAATATTTCCTAAAAAATTTCAGATTCACTTGAGTGTCTCATTGAAGACCCATTGTTTGTCGACAGTTTGACTGGAATACCTCTTCAGCATATTGGATTTATAATAAAGAACACTTTTCCAAAAGAGTTGATTATAGAATACTCCAAAAACGTAGCAGCTTCACGCATTGAATCTCAGATGTTCCAATATATTGGAGTGTATGCCACTGGCGATAACGTTGCATTAAAAGATCTTTCACGAGAGAGGAACGAATATAGATTTCAATGTAAATTTGTCGCTAAAGATCCCTCTGTGGTGGCAGTACATTTTGACAAGATCATAACATTCAAAATAACAAGTCTTGGTCAAAGCGATACAAAGTCTGTTCTGCATGCAGATTGCAGTTCCACACACCCAGGTTATTGCTGGTTACGACCCTTAGAAGCGCATCCTACAATAACAACGAAAAAAGTCCCCGAGCTTAATGGTGATTTGTTCCTTACAAGACAAGAACTGCCAGCAGAAATAACTCTTCCTCCTGATACACGCCAATGCTATGTAGGATTCGTTTGCCTTATTTTTCCTTCTGTTGCAGAAGAATGGGTTCAACGCAAACGAAAATTCAATTGGCCATCTCCTTACATAATATCCAAAATCCAGATAGGCGGGACATGCACCTTGATTCCAAAATGTCATCCTGCAAGTATTCACCCTGATATTGAATGGAAGTTAGACTTTTCTATGGCATATTCTATACTTTTTGCGGAAGCCCTCAGCAAGTTTCAGATTCAGGGATACTATGCTCTCAAAATCATAATCCAGGAAACTACAAAATTCTTAGCAAGAGGACTGAAAAACAAACATATTGTATCAGTTTTTCTATATGCATGTGAAGATATCCCGCAACAGAAGTGGGAAACAAATCTTGCTGGATGCATTTTGTATACGCTCTCCTTGCTGATTATGTTTCTGAAAAGAAAATTTTTTCCACATTATTTCGTTTCATCAAACAACATAATAGATCATTTCACTGATTATGAACTCGGATCAATCTGCGTATACATCGAGGCTATTCGTCTTTTTCCAACGATGGCTGTAAGCTTTGTAGCAGAAAGACACGGATATATCTTTAGTAGAAATCTTAACAATAATATTTTAAATGATTGCAAAGTTTTGTCCATCTCTAGAGATATCAGTGGAATTTATCAGAAAACATTTCTCCCGACTACTTTCCTAATCGCAAAGTTTTTTTGTCGTCTTGGATTTTACTCGTTGGCTTTTCGACTCATTCAAGAATCGTATGAAGAAACCCTGAACCTTCCTACGATGGAGGCAGACAAGACGATTGGACGAAAAAGCTTTTTAGAATTCTTTATAGAGGGACTGCGGGAATTTAAACAAAAATCTTCAAGAGGAATTTTGCGCCAATTGTTTGATATAAACAACAAAACTGATGTTTTTGCACGTTGTTCAAACAAAAGTTTCAAAATTGTGAGTGAGCTAGTCCCTTGGCCAGTTGACTTAAAATTAGCATGGATGCGAATACCAAAAGAAAACACGCGAGACTTTTCTTTGTTGGCGTCCTTTTTCTATGACCTGAGTTTTTCCCAGTATGAAATGGAAAATGTAAGTTTAGCCACTGTTGCCATTGATGCAGCCATTCTTTGCTTGAGTCGTGCAATTTCTGACGAATCTATTAAAACCGATGAAATAGAGGATCCTGAGCTACGGAAAGATATAATGGCTCAGCAAGAATCTATGAAGAGGAACCTGAAATCGAGATTATTTCATTTTTATATCCATGTATACGATATATCTCTTCTGGATGGTTGTATATATCCTATATATAATTATATGTCAGCAGTTGAGATCCTTTCAAAGGAGTTTCCAGAAATGTATGGAGTAGTTGCGAAAATGTTTTTTTGGATAAGGAGAGGTGACAAAGGGCGTGAATACCAAAGAAAATTTGATCACTACTTATCAGAAAAAAAAATGAATATATACTAATTTTTGCACGAACGACGAAATATTTTGTGTTTAATATGTTATTTGTAATTAAACTACATGTTAAAAGGTGATGGATTTGTCAATTAGTTTAATTTGATATATAAATAAAAATAGGCTATTTTGTTTCAAAATGATTAAAATTCTCTCAGAATTAAATACACACGAAACATGTATAACAAAGAAGACTTTCATAGGCCACATCAATCACCTGGGCACTTTACCTAAAGAACGAAGAAATAATTTTAGTACAGGAAATTTAAAATAGATAAAAAGTGGTACCGATATATGGTACATGTAGCCCTGAGCGGAGATTCAGTCTGCGGCTTAAACGTTCATAACATCAGTCCCATCGTGGATTGTGTGCATAAATGGGGACCACGCTGGGGGTATTCAAGTTTTTATTTTTAAAAAAGTTTTCAAAGCAGAAGTACTAGTTTCCAAATCAATACATTGAAAAGGAAATATAAGTAGTGAAGTTTATTAGGCAGTCCACAGTGAGAAAAATTCTTTAAAATGAAATCAAACTGCTTCAAAATGGAAAATCTGAAAAATCTCCTGAAAGAAATTATATCTGCAAGAAACACGGTCAAAACAGCATTCTTGTAATTGGAGAAAAAATAATGAAACCTTTGGTGAAACTGGACGTTATACCTGAATCACTTTTGCTAAAATATTTCTGTTCGGTTCATGATAGACATTGGAAAACTACAAAAACTCTTTTCTTCAAAATTTAAAAAATTCCAAGAAACTAGATTTTTTTCTATCGCATGTCATGCGGCAAAGTGAAAGAAAATAATTAATTGACTGTCCACAATGTTCAAAATTTTATGTGGATGAGATATTGTGATGGTGATTTATTTTATCCATCTTAATTACATGAGGAGAACTTTTGTCATTTGCATTGGATTTCAGAAAACTTACTAGGCGGAGGGAAGAGCAGCCCTTACCCATAATTAGCTTTCGGAATTGAAATGATATTTCAATGCATTTTTCATAAAATTGTAATCTATTTACAGACACAAAAGGAACGGTGATTGATGTGGTGGTGATGTGTACTTTCCATATATTTTTTGACAATATATATAGATTACATTAGGAGACAAAAATGATTTATGGCCATATACATATGTACCCACTTTATAATATTTTAATGACTGTTTATACTCTCAACTCATGGGATATAACTGGCTGGCCAGTTACCACTACAACCGCCTAAAGTCTTAATAATTAAGATAATTCTCAAGGTCAATTTTATGGCTAATGGGTGTTCATGTTCATTATTTTATTTGCAAATAAAGATGTAAAGGACCATTTCTTATATAAAAGAAATACTTAGAAACCAAAAAATTTATCATTATTGCACTGATCGAATCCATTTGTTTAAAGAATTTGTTGTTCAAATGGGAGTCAGTGGAGAGAATATCATTGTTCGCTTTCTCAACTATATAGAGAGGGATTGGGGTTCGATGTTTGAATGAAGAAGGACCAAGTCTCAACTGTACCTCTGCCAACTGTTGATACAAGACAACTGGAATTGTTATACCTTTTAAATTTGATCATGTACAAATCTATACAAAATTTTTTGTTGAGCGGGCATAAAAATCGATTTTGGACCGTTGACTGAGATTTTTGACCGATCGATGAGATTTTGGACCGATTACATCACAGGATTGGTAGAGCTTAATCTTATTTTCATTCGTTTTTGTTCAAAAATGACGTTTCTGAGGTTACATTACGGATGATTCTTGGGTCCGACAAAACGCATGATTCCTCGAACTCAGTCAATAAATGTATAATAAAAAAATAACTTTACAGCTGCTAATGTTGTGTGAATATGTCTAAAAGATTATATTACTGTTTAAAGTCGATGATGATGCGTTCAATGATTTTTAAAGGTCTTTTCTTTCAACAAGGGTCGACAGGGAATTCTCACTCCTCTAAGGCATCTGATCCCACCTCGATGTTGTGGAGGTGCGGATTTGCTCCGCTCCAATTTTGTAATGTTTAATAGACATTTGAGTTCGAATATTGCTCTTGATTATCACAACATATTTCATTTTGATAGCCTTGTACCTACCTACCTAGTCCTTGTTGAACCCGGAGGTACATATGGTAAGGACTAGGGATTTCCATTCCTTTCTATTCTTTGCAATCTTCTCCACCTCTCCCCAGGTGAGATTTATCTCCTTAGGCTCTTTCTCCACTGTTCGCCTCCATGTTGTTTTTGGTCGGCCTTTCCTCCTCTTCCCTTCTGGGGTAGCCTTGTAATAAAAGGCAAATACGGGTGTCGTGTTTTTCAAAAACATCCATAAGATGTCAAATGTCTGAGCTGTTGAAAATGTTTTGTGAGTATATAAGCATGAAGAAGGTAATTTAATGTCAATTTAAAAAAGGCTCATGCCAGATGCGGGATCTGACCTACATTTTCATTTTCCGGATGAGTGAACAGGTTAATGTTTTGGTTCAGGTCCCATTTGCAAGTAATTCTGAGCCCTATGATGACCAAACTTGCATGGATCTAAGGATTCTCACTTGCTTCGGATGTTGAATCCAAGTATCCAACATACATTTTCCAGATAATGGACCAGGTAAAAGTTATGGGTTTAACACCAAGAAACTATAAGGCCTATATTAACCAAATTTGCATAAATAATGCATCGAGGGATGAACAACCTTAAACTTCCTTCAGATGCTGAATTCAAATTACATTTTCTTAATGGACGACTAGTTTGAAGTTTTTGGATAGGTCTATTTCCAAGTAACTGCCAGCCTTATCAGATCAAAATTGCATAAATTTTGTTTCTGAGGATGAAGACGTCTAGAATGTCAGTTAATTTTGGGACTTTGCCTTACTTAAAGACGAAATTTGGTGAGGTGAGCTCTGTAATCTCTGACTACCTAGGTTTATATAAAAAGAGATTTTGTATCCTAAAACAAAATATCAAAGTTTCAGAGAAAATGAATTTGAGGAAAAATTTGGTCTATCTATTGTGTCTTAACGTAAGGCTCACGTCTTCATATAAATTCGATTTTTATTCTAAGACCAAATATATTTGCAATTTTCCACAACTCAATGATTTTAAATGAAATTTTCTGGAATATTCTGTAAAGCAGACTGATTTTAGCTGGAGTTATCATGTTGATTCTATTTCTACTGCGTATTATAAGTTCCATTTTTTTTGCACGCGATTTTCAAAAATCATAGCTGTTTTAAATGAAAAAGAATATCTACCATTCACAGTTTTTTTTTCATCGTTGGTACTTACTATCGCAAACCGGGGTTTCAAAAAGTTAATGTTTCAAATTGTTCTCTTTTTTGACATTTATAGGCCTGGAGAGTGTCTTTTAGAATTTTAATACATTTTTTAGTTTATTGAAACATATTTAATATGCACTTGTTATAATGCAAAATTGCAAAGATACTACCGACCAGAACTTTCCCGCACCTCTGAGGCAGGGGTGGGGGTTCGATTCTCCTGAGCTTTACATTATTATCTTTAAACCTTCATAATCCCGAATCATTGATTTAAAAAAAAAAACAAATAGAACACAATAGTCATTCAGGCATGCATTTTTGTGTATCGTTGTTGATAGTTCCGTCAAACAGTAGTAAATGTTTTCTATACCTTTTTTAGTACTTACTCTAAACTTATTTCTATCCGTTCGCACATGTATTTTCAACATGTATCTAACTGTAACACGTGATGCTTTCTAACTTTTTTCAGCTCTCATTGTTAGAGTGTTCTTCTAGATAAACATTTTGATTTCTTAAAATATGAAAACCTTCGGCAAGAATATTTATTTCAAATCTGTAAAAACAGTACAAAATATTCAGTTTATTGTTTTAAATATCAAATAACATTGACAACTGTGTGCTATCATTGGTGCAGAATAAATCTCCCTGGTGAAAGAGAAGGGAGCAAGTCTTTCTTATTGTCCTTGCAATTAGCTTTTACTAAATTTTAATGTAATCTTCTATGAAAATTCCGTATAATTACTATTGATTCTTTCATTTCTTATACTATTCGTTGTAAATATTCCATTGTATAAAAAATGATTTAAAAAAGAAAAAAAAGGAAGAAATCAGCGCCTATTCAGAAGTGCTGTTGTAAATGCAGTAATACTTGTTATTATTTGTTCCGAGGTCATTCCGGAAACGAACTCAGTAATTGCTGGTGCAGCAGCTATTCCTTCAGTAACTCCTACACCTATGCCTATACCAGCTAAACCAAGTGCTCCAACGACTAACAGTTTCAGTCTTATTTTGTCGTGTTGATTTTGTAAAAGCGTATTGACTGTCTGCTCAAATCGTCCAGAAATCTCCAGTATATTTTCTCGAAGTTCTCCACTTCTATCTCTGTCAAGAACCATCAAAGAAGTGCGATTTCTGTAAAGATCCATGGCTTGCTGGAGATATGTGTTATGTCTTTCCATAAAAAAATCTTTTTCCACTACATTTATATTGCCATCATTGTCTGTTGTAAAAATCTATAATGATAAATGGAAAATATTAGAATGGACACTTAAAAACCAAACGTTTGGTATTGTACATATCTCTGTTCTATGCATACTGTCGTCTGCGATAATATGTACATACATGTACATTAACTCACTGCACATAGATGTACAAGGTGTAGTGTCGTCTATAGTTACATATTGTCGACAGTACATGTACATGTATGTTCTTTTAAAAGCTTTCAACGTACAAAATATGAAAACTACTCTAACTTAGTTTTCTTTATCTAAGTTTTCTTAGGTAGACCTTCAAGTAGTCAATTCGATAAATTTTAACATAGGATGGAAACATTACATTCTTTTTTTTTGTCATTTTTTTCTTAATACATTTGACCACTAAAAAAATTAAATCCAATTTCAACTACGTAAAAATTAAATACTGGTAGCTTGTATATTTTAGGAACCTTCTAAAATTTGGTTGATATGTTTCAAGTATCTAATAGATAATTTTTATTAAGGTCTTCCGTCTTCACGGAAGACCTTATAGTGATTCTATTGTTTCTTATTATTATTATTATCATTTTTCCGTACACTAAATTTTGTGCACGCGATTTCTCGAAGACTACTGGGTGGATTTTCATGAAATTTACAGAAATTATGTGTTGTTATCTGAAGTTATTTTTTCCGAGAGATTTTTTGAAAATTCTTTTCTGGTGCCAAGTTACGGGACATTTTCTGAATTTAAAATGACATTTTGTCTACGGTTAATCTCAAGAACGGTAGAAGATATCAGCATGAAACTTTCAGGGATTATAGATCGTGATATTCACTATCCAGGACGCGACCTTTCGTTCGTCGTCAATACTTCCTGTCGATAGGAGATGCGAATTTAAAAAAAGTGCATTTTCTAACTTTTTTGTTCTTCAATATTTTTCATTTATTTTTGGAATATTAATATTGACCTTTCCATTGATGCTTACTATATAATTTGTTTTAGTATTGGTTAATCTGAACTCTAGATATTAATATTTGAAAATCTGAAGCGGGCCCAAGATGGCGGCTGTCTCTGTCTACTCCGCCATTTCGCGAGTAGGGGTTTATGGAGGCAGCTGAGCGTTTGATTGAACCATTCTGACATAAGGATACATGAAATGTGAAAAATTACCTGGACTTTCACGTAGTAGTACGTTGCAATTGAGTGTCAATCTTGAAACTTAATTTCCGTTTCACTGCTTTAGTGTAACTGGGCTAGATACGATATGAAATGTGTACAATGTGTTAAATATATTTTCTTAACGTCGAAATAAAATAAAGGCCATAAGAACGTTTTATTTATTTAATTTCATTGAAGCTATCACACCTATTTAATAGATCAGTCCAAAGAAAAGGCGCGAATATTTACTCGTGGCGTTTAGCGCGAAATTATGAATAGTGGTCCGCCTTTTATAATTCTTAGACAAATGTACTGTTGCAAAAGTATACAAAAGTATATTTAGAGCAGTGCTCCAAATTATAGCATAATGGTATGCGCGTTAGGGATAAAAGAGAAAAAAAAGTGCATTCACGTTGGCGACCTGAGTTCAATCCTCCTTGTGACCAAAATTTTGAATCACTTTTCAGCTTAATTTTACGAGGGTTTTTTTTCCTGAATCGGACGGAAGACCTCTCGTTGCTCGCAACGAGATCGTATCTAGTTAGTATTACATTTTTATTTCAGATGAACAAATATATAGAAGATGACTCGTCTTCACAGATGTATTTTTTTTTCTCACAACCACATACAACATTGTAATATTAAGAATTCGGAAGCAGAGTTTTATTATGTTTTCTAATTTTAATAGGTATTTCATTAATTATTACTTTCAAACACACCTCATATTTCAAATTTTATGTCGTGATAATAAATCATTACTCTTTCTGTTCTCTGTGTTGAATTTTCTTCATATCATAATCTGACATAAAATAATTTCTGAATTTTTTTTCATGCCACTTTAATTTTATCGTTGTTCATGAAATGCAATATCAGAAATTTTAAATATTTTAAAGTGAAATATATAGCAGAGGGTCGGGACCCCTGAATAGACGAGATAAAAAATTACAGTAACGCATCAGCACATTCTGTCATCTGCGACAATATATACCGTAAACATTTGTAAATTATGTCGCTGATTTTATTTACTAAGGTCGTGGAGAGAGAGAGAGAGAGAGAGAGAGAGAGAGAGAGAGAGAGAGAGAGAGAGAGAGAGAGAGAGAGAGAGAGAGAGAGAGTGTGTGTGTGTGTAGGACGAATATATAAGTAACGAAGTTATCATAATAATTAAAATAGATCATAGCAAACATTTCAAGAGTTTACCACTTGATGTTTGAGGGTAAAGAAGTTTTTTTAAAGTTGCATTAGTTTTGATGGTTTAAGTCTCACCCTCAGACCCCAGGGCGGCATGGGCTATGAACATTATTATTTGTACTTCCCTTTTATTCAAAGATGCTATATACATATATGTCAATAGTGGTTAATTGTCTCGAATAGGCTGAAAATGTTTAAGATGGGACCTATGTCCGAAAAGTCTTTGTGTGAAATTTTCAAAACTTTGACATTTCTTTCCTGACCACTTGCTCTTAATTTTTAGGTATTAAAAACAATACCTTTATATGCTTATTTTTACACAGGAGCACGTGCAAAAACAGTGTGAAATGCTAAAAATAGATTATTTTCAGTCATTAATGTTCTACCCCAAATATGCGCTAAAAAGAACCAAAAATGTCAAATCATATTCAAAATCAACACTTATTTAAATTATATGACTTGTGTCTTTAAAATGGAGGCAAATTCATTGAAATGCATCTCGCATGAAAAATTATAATGGAACACATTGTATACGTATTACCCCATTTTTCTTGTCATATTTTTTAAAATTCCGACATACTTAACAGGTAATATCTTAAAAAGTCTTTGTGTGAAAATGTTGTAATTCATATTTTTTGAAAGAAATGATTCATCTCTTTATTTCAACAAAGAAAAAAGTATACCTTTATGATAAAATAAACGAGAAATATGACGTTTCCTTTTATTTTTGTACTCTTGTGTCATAGATATTGACCTTTCTGCACTAAAAAAGGGGTACGTAAGCACTGACAAACACCTGAATATAAAACAATTTTACGGAAAACGAGTATTTTGTTTTGATTAGAAACAATTGAAATAGATAATTTTTTTTCTACATTCCATTCATTCTGTTTCTCTCCCCCTCCCCCCCCCTTTCCCCGTCAACAACCAGTGCCTATTATAACCTAGGAATGACTTTATACAATAAAATCTACATGTACTATATAAGTCAATAAGCAATTATACACCTGTACAAGTACATTTCTTAATTTTTTTTCTTAGTTTTCTCCAGAACATCGATTAATGGTAATTATAAAATTAAATATATTCCCCTGATTTAAGCCGCTTTCTTTGGTGAATTTTATCTCTTTTTTTGCACTGATATATCAGCATATTATCGAGGTATTTTTTAACAACAGAAATTGCTATGAATTATCAACCAAAGGAAGGAAATTCTAATATTAACAAACTCCACAAATCAAATAAAACTGTGATTAATGATGAATAGATTTTCCTTTTTGTAAATTGTGTACGTAATTGATTATCAACAATGTTATGCCTATATCACAGTTGCAAAAGTCAACAGGTAAAAACAAACGTCGCTATTGTGACGTCACATAACGCTGCCTTGACGTAGAACGACATAGGTCCCCCCTTAAATGTTAACACACGACGACATACAAACTTAGATACATGCAGCAATAGGTCACTTGGGAATTTGTGCAGGGATACAGAGTATATAGGGTAAGACCCCTTTTTGGTCCCTGATTTTAGCTGTGTTTTGGAATGATTTAAATTTTTTTTCGACAAATCTGTTGTCGCCCCTGACACAAAATTAGTATTGGTTCTAAGTTACAACATACATAGAGGTAAGGAAAAGGTATACGAAAATATTCCAATTTCCGATTTTTCTTTCTTTTTTTTTTTTTTTTTTTTTGCAAATTTTCATCGATTTTATAGCATGTTTTGTTTCACAAAATACAAAACTCAAGCTTGCCTAGCTGCTAAATTTATATAATTATATCATACACTTATTAGAAATGCAACTTATGTCTAAAAATCTTAGATAGGCAAGCTTGTGCTCCATGTTTTCAAAAGTGAGAATTGAGAAAATTCGGGAAAACGTCATACTTCTTGATCTGTGCTCACTTTTGGTCTCTCTTTCAGTCTTGAATCAAAATTAGTGCTGAATTTAAGGCAACAAACATAATTCTAAGTTCATAACTACAAACTTTCACAATTTCAACTGTTTTCTGGTTTTCAAATCAAATAGGGGACCAGATTCGGCGTTACCATACCTTGTCCTTTGTGGGTTTTTTAAAAAAAATAAACCTAACGAATGAGTGCAAGTGCTAATGTAGAAAGAAATGATTTCATGGTAAATCATTTTTTATTCAGACATAAAAACACATTGATTTTTATGCATATATTCAATTAAATTAGTGATGTACATTATAAACTAAAGTAGATACAGCTACAAAAATATGAAATTATCCAAAGAAAACGACGTTTTAATGTAGAGCATTTTCACGTACAAGTTTTAAGTGCATAATAAGACAAGAGACCCATGCACGACATCACCTGAGCATTGGGGCTAGGAAAAAGCAGAAAAAAAATCAGTTCAGCATTAAAAAATATGAATATTTCCAATCATAGGTTTGTTGTTCTCGAGAAATTTGATCGCCCATTGTGGCCCAACCTACCTCCAAGTGTCATGATTTGATCTAACTTGAATCTACACTCCCTGAGGATGCTTCAGTACAAATATGACGAATCATAGCTTTTATGTTCTTGTGAAGAAATGTTTGAAAGATTTTTTTTCTCTTTTATCCCTATGTTAAAATTTCATCGCTCATTATGCCTCTATCCTATCCTTGGGGGTCATGATTTAAACAAAGTTGTATCAACACTACTTGGGAATGCTTCTGAATCCAAGTCTGGGAACTTTTTGATTGACCCTCGTATCTCCCCTTGGAAGAAGGCGTGACCCTTCATTTGGACAAACTTAAATCCCCTTTACCCAAGGATACTTTGTGGCAAGTGTGGTTGGAATTTGACGGGTAGTTCTTGAAAAGAAAATTAAAATGTGAACATTTACGAAGTCGACGACAACAACAGACATCGGACAACTCTAATAAACAAGAGGCCCAGGGGCCACATCGCTCACCTGAGCAATTGGCTAGGAAAAAGCACACATCAGATCAGAACTGAAACTGAGGGGGGGGGGAGCTTGAATTTTAACCCACCAGGGGGTCATGATTTGAACAAAGCTTGAATCCACACTACCTAAGGATGATTCCCTATAAATATCACTAAGCATGCCTTTAAAGTACTAGAAAAGAAGATTTTAAAAGGTTTCCCTAGAAATTCCTATGTAAAACTGTTATCGGCCATTTGGCCCCACCCTACCGCCGGGGGGTTATGATTTGAACAAATTTGAATCTACACTACCTGGGGATGATTCCATAGGAGTTTAATCTTTCCTGTCTCAATGGTTCTTGAGAAGATTTTTTCCTATATATTCCTAATTTCCTGTGTTACATTTTGATCAGCCATTTTGGCCCCACCCTACCCCCGGGGGTCATGATTTCGAATTTGGTTTACTATAGTAAAAACTTTCGAACTTTGATTAACTATAAATATTAAAAATATTGAAACTTTAGTCAAGAAGGATAAAACCCGTAAAAGTATGTTTTTGATTCGAATTCTTTACATTTAATGATAATTCAAGGCTAAGATTCATACAAAAAAAAAAAAAAAAACTTCAAAGAACTTTTTAAAAATCCAATCCTTCCCCTCAAAGAAAAAGGTAACAGAAATGTTTCAATGCAAATGTTGTCTCCTGCACCGAAAAATAATGATTTTCATAAAAATCTATTCAATTTCAATGTTTTGCAGATGTAACACGCGTCTTATTTGTGAAGAAAAAATGCCATGTAATAACGTGTGATACAAATTAGAATCAAATATCTGCTTCATTAACTTCAGTCAACATTTTATTAAATTTTAAAAAATTTGAATATTGCATTTGAATTTCGTACTTTATATACTCAAATTAAAATGTAAAACACCATTTAACCCTAACCAACCCATAAAACGAATTTATAATCAAAATATTAAACAAATAATTAATACATAGATAATTAAAAACATTAAAAAAAAACTTAGAAACCTGATAAAGTTTTGGAAAAACTTTGAAACTTTAATAAACCATTATGATAGTAAAAATTTTGGAACTTTGATTTATTATGGTGAAACATTTTAAATTTAGAAGAAATAAAAAAAACCTTAGAAACCTGATAAAGTTTTGGAAAAACTTTGAAACTTCAATAAACCATAGTAAAAATTTTGGAACTGTGATTTATTATGGTGAAACATTTTAAATTTTTATTTACTATAATACGAAATATTAATTTACTATAGTTAACTATTATAGTTAGTTTTTTTGTAAGGGAAATTTTGATCATAGCCTTCGGCTCAGGTGAGTTGAAACGTGATTTAAACGCGCACATGCAATTCTAATTTGTACTTCGCATGTACATTATTTATACACTTACATGTTGGTCTGCGAAAACTCTATATACGACAATTACCTCTTCCATATTCCTTTGGTATAACCAAACAGCATCGTTAAATGCTTTATTTTCAGCCATCGTCTCCATAGCCTTATTAAAGAAGAAAAATATCAAAGTATATAAAACGACGATGATACAGGACAATCATAAACATATGACAAAAACACAATGATCTCAATACATGTCATAAAGTATTTTGTTTTCTTCTGAAACTTAACATTACTGTAATTCTGAGTAATTTTTTTAGCCTCTAGACCATGGAGATCACACATAAACAAATACCGTATAACGGGTATTTTAACTTGGTGCTATGTAAAAATAATTTTTTTTTAGTTTTATGAATCCGTAAAATTCAAATGCGTTAATTTCACAGAAGTAAAAAAAATACAACTCGCGTGAATTTTTAAAGCAATACGAGCTGCAGCTTCGAAGTCAGAATTTTTTGTTCCAAAATTGTAAATAACTATTTTAATGACAGAAAAAAATAACACTAATAAACTTCTTTTGTTCATATTTGCGATGGAAAATCTATTTATAACCTTGGTTTATATCAAAATTACATTATTGTTGTCCTGTACAATAATAATTTCTTATATAAAACGGTATATGGGATTATATATAGAAGTCTTTCTTTTGTTTTATTTTAGTCTAATTGATCATGAAGGATTAATTTACATACATATTTATCATAATAGCACATTTTAACAGCAAAATAAAATTTTCAAAAATGCAGCTAATACAATGTATTGCTTTAAAATCGTATGCATGAGAGTAATGCTAACTGTCATTCAACTCAGTGCCAAGTGACAATTAGTACTGTTTGTATTTTCGAGCATTTTGAAATTATTGATCATAAGGTAAATCTTAATTAACTTGCAAAAGTTAAACAAGCATCGGCAATTAAACATTTACTTAGACTTACCTGGATAACCTATTATAATTAATGTTTTACGAGACGCACAATTTCTTATAACGACTTAGTAATTATAGGTCTTCAAAATTTTCCCGTAATTTAAATTTTTGACCCTTTGGTCTGTTCTACAGGTCGCCCGCGTGGCGCAGTGGTTAGAGCGTCTCGTCTAGAGTCGCGAAGTAAGGAGTCAATCCTTACGTCGCGGGTTCAAATCCCACTGTGGGACGTGGAAACCGGTCCTTCGGATGAGACCGTATAAACCAAGGTCCCGTGTCGCAGTATGTGCTGGCACAAAAATGATCCCTCACTGCTCAATGGCCCTGAGTGCCGAGTCTAGGATAAAATTTGTAGCTCTCCACCTGCAAGTGGTGGCGTCTTTATATGAGTGAAAAATTCTCGAGAGGGACGTTTAACAACATGCAATCAATCAATCAATCTGTTCTACAGTGTATACGCTTCGAATAAAAACTGCGAGTTTTTAATACATAGATTACATAAAACGGTACAATGATCTTAATATCTGTCAGTGAGTACTTTGTTCTCTTCTGTAACTCAGCAACGCTTTCTTGGATAGGTTCTTTGAAACTGTGTTTTGAACTGAGCTTAACGCGAATCTTATAACGTCATGATTTCTTTTTCTGCTTCACACTCGTCTGTTAACATTTAATATTTTTTTTTAGTAAAAGACACCTCTTGACTAAGGGAGTTATACTGAAAGGAAAAAGAAACGCATAATAGCACAATAGCGAAAAATATTTAATTATGTGGTCGAAAATTATGAAAATTGGTCAGATGTGTATTTTGGTTACTGTGCACTAAAATCGCTGGTCAAAATTACTTTACCATGAAATGTATGGTGTCATGTAGGGGAAGCGATAAAATGCCAAATACACGTGCATGTTGATGATGACAATTTGATCACATTTTGTAGTGCCAAGAGATGCATTAGTGTTATAGACATCGTTTTCCGATATTTGCAGTCAGTATAAATTTCTTGCAATCATGGTATGGCTAACGGAAGTTACATTGGATCTAGTAACTGAGTTGCATAAGTGAATAAAAAGGCAACAACATGTTGCTGTGCAGTTTGTTTTCAACCTAAAAAGTTTTTTCGGTTGTCAGAGAGTAACTTAAAAGGTTTCCAACCAACCATGAGGGTGACGTTGGCGCGTAACAACGTCACATCAAGATAAGGCTTGTCATCATGCTACCTCGGTTATTGTCAAGTCATTATCACTGAAACCGATATTTTTACAGCAGGAAATCCTACTCATATTTTCACCCTAATACTGACAGAAACTCTCTGCTCTAATTTGGTACAGAAGCCTGGCAACTTTACGTCGATTTTACTCTCACACGCGCACGTAAGTGCCGTATGCGTAATGTTTTAGCATGTTCACATTGGGAAAATGTAGCTAGTATTTGTCGATACTTCCTTACAAACATTCACTTGTACCAAATCAGCTAGAATCTATAAATTCTATCCTAAATCGAAAATTCGTGGGATTCATTGGGCGGGGTATTTGTTGGCTTTGGAATACAGCTACTCTCAACCATTAAGACATCGAAAGGCTTGAATGATACATGTAATCCTATGAGAAAGATGAACGCTCTGGCGAACTCAATGCACAAGAAAATCAAGACTGTTACTGATGCGCAAGGGAGACGATGAGAATTTTTATTTTAATTTTACGGGGTATCGACAGATCAATTTCAATAACTCAGGAATTATCAGTCAAAGTCACACAAGATTTCGGTCACTTATTGTTTAAAGTTGAATTAAAATATTTGATAACAATACTGGAAAACATATTGGAAATAAAAGTTTTAATTTTATTCAAAAGTTTATTATGCGTTTCTTTTTCCTTTCAGTATATTTAAATGCACTACTGTCCATCTTTTTTAAGCAGATTCAAATTTCAGTCGAAAATTAATCGAAAGATTGCCTTACACTGTATATTGTAGGCAGCAGAGAATGCACATTGTTTCACTTCGTTCATGGCCTAGATTGTTCCCTATCGTCTGTGCCTATTGTTTGCGTTTAACAAACAGTCCTCTACTTTTTACATACTGTAACTATTTTCGGTATAGAAGAAAGACTATTATTAAATTTACTGCCTTTTAAAAATGACTTCTCTATTTAATTCTAGTGTGTTATGTCACTTCTGACTTTTTTCCGTCTCTGATGTATATAAACCATATACAAAACAATTTCTTACATCTCCGTGCCACAGTTAAGCGTTTGACGACGTCATTTGCAACAAACAATCTTCAAACAGCACTTTGAAAATCATGACACCAATCGTCTGTTTCTAAAGCAATTTATACGAAATTTTGATGCATTATTTAGATTTTGATGCTGGTCCCGATGGTTTAAATTTGATTTCAATGTTATACTGTAAACGTATTACATTTGGCTGTGTATTCTTTTTAGCGCTATTGGCAGAAAGGATCTTCCGCTAATTCAAGTACAACGCTAAATGTCTGTTACATATATACATAAATAAGAACATTGAGAAATGCCCTAAATCAAATTTACTCTAACTCGTTCAAGAATCAATTTCCGCCAAATATCGTACACGCTAAATATCATACATTATTTACAGTACATAATATTAAAGAAATATAAGCAAATGTTATATGAGTAAATTAATCCGAAATTTGTTAGAGCGGCGACATCCCTTATCGGCCTTCATATAATTCGTCCTAATATTATTAATATGAAAGACATATCTTTAAGAATTCACAATTTTAAAGAGCATAGAATATATTATATATGTCTTTGCAAAATTTGCTTAGTATTAGTCACATGTTAAAAAAGTTATTAACATCGTATACGACTTTTTTGGACAACCATCGTACATACCTCCAGGATTGTTGGTGGTTCTGGCAATTGATCTCCTTGAAACATCTCCACGAATTCCTACAGATAAACATATGCATGTATAAATATAAAAAATGTTATACAATGTATTTAATCTTTTAAACTGATTATTATATAAACATTTACTAAAAAGTGTTGCACTGTTTCTCTTCGCAGTCATAAAGAAATCAAAGTTCGACCGCAGAGTGACAATGTGGGTGGAATCAGCTAAATATCTTTTTTTTATTTATTGATCTTATTGTTTGCATTTGTTGTTGTTCGACAGTGACGGATTTGTCGAGTTGTAAAAAATCTTCTTACGATGAAAACGGGCTGCCACAGGCTTCAGATAAACATTTTGGTTCTTGGGTCTGGTAAAACGCCTTTCCCACCCAATCCTAGTCAACAGATAAATGACCTACTCTTATCAAGCTGTATTAAACCTTAGCATTTTTTGGCTTTGTATTTTCTTATCAGTTTTTTTACTCACCTTGATCCTAACACGTAAAATTCAGACGGCTTTATACGTATAGATATAGGTATAGGTCAGTTAATTATTTAAGTCATTGTAAAAGACGGCAAAGCTACATGTATCTGAGAAAGCTTTACTTTACATGTATATTGAAACCTGTCCAATCCTTTCATTCTTTTTCAGTATTCAATAAGACCAGTATCCCATCTATATGATACCCCTGACGCATGAGGCTTGAAATTCACAATTTTGTAACAAAAGACTCTTGCTCATCATAAGCATTTCATCTGCGTAATACCCAGGAGCCGAGGCGGAGATTTTCAAAGAAATAATGCATTTTCGCTATATATCACTTACATGTATATAGCCCTGCCCTAACACCAGAATCCCTGATCTTGTGGTAATGAAAATTAATAATTTTCGAAGAGTTCTAGCTATGTACAAAATTTGTTTCTTTAATACCAAGGAGCAGAGGAGATTTGCGATAAATTAATGCATTTGTATTATAAAATTTATACAACCCCGCCCTAGTACCAAAACCACTGACCCTGGGGCCATGAAAGAAATAATTTTGAAGAGGCACCTTTCCTCGTCATAATTTGGTATCTATTTATTTTTTATATACCTAGAGGCAGAGAAGAAGAACACTAGATGAGTGTCAAGTTAAGTAATTTGAGGAACGTAGTTGATGAAAGTCAATTTCTTTGAAAAAGAAAAAAAAGTTCTTTGTTTGTTCAATACCAAGGAGTAGAGAGGAACATTTTCAAAGAAGTAATGCATATTCACTATCTACTCAATAGAACTCCGCCTTAACACCGGAGCCCCTGGCCATGGGGCATGGAATTCATAATTCTGGACAGGTCAACCTTGCTCATCATAACAATATATAAATAAGATTAATTCATTTCTTCAATATATTAAAGATTCACTATGCATGTAATGATGTTGTCTTTTTTCATACAGATGTCTTACATTATACTATTAAGAAAAAAGATTTAAGAAAAGAAAAATATGCATTTTTACTACATTATAATTAGAGCCCAATCCAAACTCAAGAACCTGCCAGTTTTACCCTGGGTCATGAATTTCACAATTTGGGTAGTGAACATAAGGCTTGTTACAATCATGCCAACTGTTTGATTGCTTTATTTCCAAAAGCAGGCAGAAGAATTATTTAGATGCTTTAAGTTCCACACAATACGGCCACAGGGAGAACTGAAGGACCATGCATACTTTTTATGGTTAAGATTGGTTAATATATGGTTCAAGAGAAGAAACTGAAAATATTCAAATATTAAAGACCGACACACAACGCAGATAAAACAGATGGCAGCAGGTCACCTGATTAGATGAATTAAAAATCCAGAGAATTAGAAGCCCTTCCAGATTTAATGCCATGACGTTTGTAAAATTGGTCAGTCAAGATAAAACTAGGACTTTATCCGTAACACATTCGCAAGAGACATAGCAAAACCAGTTCATTTAAAATTATATGTAAGCAAAGAAAAAAAAATTAAAAACAGTGAACTAGATTTTTTCTTAGTTTTGGACAATATCTACAGTTGATTCATGATCATTATGCAAATAGCTTAACGACTTGATGATCAAAAGAAAAGATTTGCAATGCAATCTGCTTTTAATGTGACGGATTTGCCCCCACCCGCAGGTCCCAGTGTAGAGTGGGTGTAGGTAGACAATGATATTAACAAACTGTTACCTTTTGTTAAAGATAGTGTAGTGTAAATTTGTGAATTGTGTATAATGGTTTATTGAAAACTTTTCAAAGTTTCATGACCGTTGGGCACTGCGCATCGAACATCGACGGGTAAAAAAAGGGAATCAATAGATTACTGTGTGACCTGGGCAGCTTAAAAATAATTACCTAGATGCATAATTAAAAAAAACTGTATAAAAAATTCTCATTATTTGTGGGGTATTTTGATTTTTGGAAGTCAATATACAAGAAACTCAAAACTTGCTGGTAATCTAAAGCATATTAAAAGACATGTTCTAACAAAAAATACCACAGTAAAATATAGTCAACTATAACTCACTATGGAAAACTATAATAGTACCAAAGTAAAAACATTGGAATTATGATTTACTGTAGTGATAACTTTGGAACTTTGATTAACTATAGTAAAAACTTACGAACTTTGATCTACTATAGTAAAAACTTACGAACTTTGATTTACTATTAATAGTGATAACTTTTAAACTTTGAATAAGTACAAAGAAACCCTTGATATGTTTTTCACATTCACATTCTTCACATTTTATGATATTTCAAAGATTCATTACAGCTTTAACAACTTTTTTAAAAAACCCGACCCGTTCCCAAAAAGACTAATATACAAGCAATGAATTTTAATGAAAAGGTTCTCTCTTGCGCCGATAAATTAGCAATATTTATTTATATCTATCTAATTCTTATATTATGCAGATGTGTCTACACAAGTCTTTTTTATGGAGAAAAAATGTAATATACTATAAAATAAAATTTATGTCATTTATATTCAAAATATTTGCTACATCAATTGCAGTCAACATAATTTATATATGTTCTAATGTTAATATTGCATTTGAATTTATTACTATGCTTACTTTAAATGCAGATGTACACATGCCATAACAAACATTAATTAAATCATCAAAAACTTAATAAACAAAAACATAAGCTTTGAAACTAATGAAAAAAAGGTTTACAATAATGAAAACTTTGGAAGTTTGATTAACTATAGCAAGAAATTTGGAACTTTGATTAACTATAGTTACTGTAAGAACTTTAGAACTTTGATTTACTATAGGGTGAGTTAACCATGCATAAGACACATACCTTGCTTCGGACAACTTTAGGCAATAAACTCTCTTTCAACTTTCAACAAGAGTTCTGTGTATTTATTTGTCTCTAAATTGAAGCTGAAGATTTAAATTTTAAAATCATACCGATTGTTTTTATCATGTTGAGATAAAAATCCGAGAATGGCCTTGAGGTTACGTAATATTTATAACTAGAAAATTTTTAGAGTTATCGTTCTTTTAAATTCGACTTCAACGGAACGATTGAGACTTTGGTAAATTTTGTCAAAGATTGGTAATTTTACATAAATTTTAAAGAAATTCCACTTCAATGTTTGTATGGTTCTTTTTCAAGCTGGTTTTTTAGTATGTTTATTTCTCCGTACATCGGACACAAATTAACCATGCATCGGACACTTTCCGATGCATAGGCAATCACTACCATTTTCATACAGAACCCAACTGACAGCTGTTTCTTGCGGAAATAGAAAATAAAAACTCTAAATTTTAAGTCAAAATACAAGTTATCGATATATGGATCTGACTCAATTTATTTCTCCAAACCAGACTATCTTAACCCACGAGAAAAAAGGCGCGAATTACAGCATTACAAGCATTTTAAAGCATTTCTAAGGCAAAGTGAGGCATCTTGAATCGTTCTACATTCGTGCGACGATATCATCAATTAAAGTTGAGGGTTATTTCTTATAGATAAAATATAAAAGTATATCCATATCAAAGATTTTAAACCACTGTGATCAAGGTATGATATTTTTTTCGGTCGAAATACCGTCTGTCCGATGCATGGTGAATAATGTGCGATCCATGGTGAATTTTGAATTATTTAGAAAAAAATTTTTGGTGATATTTTCTCAATAAAAGGCATATAATTGTGTCCCAAATTTATATTCTAATCACATACTAAGTGTCAAGCTCCATTTTGATTATTTTCCCTCGGTAGCGATATCGCTAGAACTTGTTGAAGTACAAGGGTGTCCGATGCAAGGTGAATTCACCCTAGTGAAAACTTTGGAACTTTGATTAACTTTAGTTAACTATGGTATTTTTTTTGTTAGGGGCATACCCACTTTTCAGCTTATTATCTACATGTGCAAGCATATTTTAAAAAAAAAAAGTCCAAAAAACTGACTATATGACAGAATCATGAAAGGAACAATGAATGTCTACGTTATTGTTTTACTAACTTCTGCAAATTATTGTTACATTTTCTTACCTTTAGAGACACTTAAAAACTTACTTTGATGTATGTCTTCAGTTCCTCGCCGCTCACCTCATTGCTGCATATGCGTTTTGTATCCCGGATATTTAATGGTACATGTAGCACAAATTCTACAAAGTCTTTGATATGATTTCTGAAATGTTCGCCGATGTCTGCATTAAAATAAGGAAAGAAAACAATTTTTGATTTATCATGGAAGTGGTCAGTAAGAATGCAATTTAATTTAATATATGCATCGCAATTAAAACCATGTGGAGGATTTAAACAAATTTAAGACATTATTTTGACCCTACGAATAAATTTACTACAGTTAACTATAGACTTAGATGTATAGTTTAGAAAGAATGCTGACAACTTTCCTTTTTTGGGGGGGTACATCACATTGATTTTGCTAATACGTTTTCATTAAGTATATTAAGAGCACCGGTTTAAAGATATTTTAAGTACACAATGCACTACAAATAACACATTAACTCTATTTGGAATGAATAAGGAATACCTGGTATTGATCCGTCAAATGTTTCATTTACTCGGACTTGTTCTCCGGGTTCTGGCAGAAGAAACCCTTCAATCAAGTTAAAACACGAAGAGAGCCTTTGTCGCAAATCCCGTGTCTCCTCAGATGGGTTATGAATGCTCTATTAAATCAAAGTATTGAAAGAACTGAAAGCCGAACTTTAATTGCTCGAGTAAACTGTCCGATCCGAAATAAGTATAGATTTAATTTTTTCCTCTTAACTATTGATTTTTAACAGGTAGTGTTTGTATGTTTATGATTTAAAACAATATCCCATATACCAGTAATTAAAATTAACAGTTCAGACCCTAAGATATTTTACAATTTTAAATAAAACTTTATAACGATTATTTTCCAGAAATTCTCGCATATTTTCTATTCAATGAGCATTTTTTCACTTAATTTAAAAATTCAGTGTTGAAGTAGTTAAAATAATGCACATATGTATTTTGTGGACATTCTTTTAGTTTCAAACAAACAGTACTTTTACGCCAAGTAGATGTAGAAACACTGATACATGTACATTGTTAATTCTTAAAATTCCAATTCACTTTACTATTAATTTGCTAAAAATCAAAAACAGAATATAACCACTAACACAACATTGACGAAAACGATATATGAAACATGAAACTCTTCAACAATTTCAACATTTCGAAAAGTCCGCGCTATAGAAAATAGTTTGCTAACAATATGCATCAAGCAGCATATATACATAAATTGTTATATCACAATTATCTCAATAAAGCAAATACCTAATTTCTCTTTCAGTTTAATTCTCAAGCAAACATATTGATCATTAACTTTTCCAACGACAGGGATGTCTGCTTTGACGCTGTTTGGTTTTTTGCTCACTATGCTATTTATAGTAAGACAGTCGATCATGATGCCTATAGCCAGAGCTTTGCTTTCAGCAAAGCCCGGCTAAAAATTATAATTGTCATTGTTTAAGAATAAAAAAGAATAAATTCACTTTTTTGTTGTACTGACAAGTAAGCAATGAATGCATAACCAGCTCCTCAGCCAAAATATCAATGTACCTGTAACATATCCTCAGTGTAGTTTCTACCACCATCACGACCGTATGAATGACGTCCAGGCCACTACCAGTCACGAATAAGGAATATCAATCTCTAGTATAAGAAAGTTTTTAACTTTTTAAGTTAGCAAAGTCGACCAAAAAAAAGAAAAAGAAACATAAAACAGGGCTTGGAGAAGCAACTTTCCTGACAAAAATTTAGTTGGGAGATTAATATATTCATTGGATGAAGAAGAAACGGTATTATTTAGGCGACAATTACGTGGGGCTTGCAAAAGTCCTTCTCTATAGGTTCGTTGATGCATGTTTTTATTTCTCGTATGTCCATGGTTTTCAAAGCAAAAAGTGTAAGCTTAACATTAAAGTCTACTTATGACTTATAAAAAATATTTCCATTTAAAGTGCACATTCGGATGGAACTTGTGGAACTACAAAAATATTTTGTTTGATAGTTTGCCGCGATGACGTATAATTTAGTAGATATTCCTTTCCTGGACCCCAATACACAAAACATCAACATTCGTACTAAATTATGTTAAATTCGTCTGAATGTAGACTAAAATGTAAACGAGTATTAATCTATCGGAGATTTATGATATTTTGCTTTTGGGAACTGCTTTTACCTTATATTCAATTATAACTTTAAACCCTAAGGTGTAGGCATGCGGTATTTTAGAATTCACGCGGTACAAGTTAATTAAAAAGATATACAGTGTAAGTTGTACGACCCGTGATTTTCCGGCAGATTCTTATTACGTTAATTTTGTATGAGGAGAGAATATTTATGTTTCGTTAACTGCTGACTTCAACTATTTGCCTTTTTCCTTAATGGTATATTGGGTAAATTTCAATTAAAAAGCAAACGTACAGTCGCTTTTAGATGAATTAATAATAAGAAATTACAATCAACAAATATTTTGTTCAACTTACCTGGAATAAGTGGAACTCATTTGAAATTGCAGAACTACTTTGAGTTGCTAAATTTCCATAACTTGCGAAGAACTAAAAGAAAGAAATGTTTAATTAAAAATGTATGACTAGGTATTTTAATACATGTAACTAGGTTACATGAGTTTATGCTGTATAAACGAGCTCATAATTTCTATTTGATACTTGTAAAAGCATAAATACTTAGGAATTTTATAAATTATACCTAAAAAACAATGATTTGAAGGTATAAATATATTTGTACTTTTAGCTGTAAAAATATCGAAATATTCATCGATTTTGATAGAAAGGTATAACATATGCAGACAAACAGAAACCAAATAATTCTATTACTTAAGAAGAGTTAGTAAAGAGATACATGTATGTTGATTAACTCCATATAATGGCCCTGTCCTTATAGGAATTAATGGACCAAGTGTCAATGTCCACATTCTAACATGAAACATATATATAAAAAGAGACTTTTTGTGAAACTTAATTATTCTTGAATTTTGAAAGAAAAAAGGGTGAATTTTAGCATCATCTACTAATGAATAAAATATGAATCCATCCTGCGATCCCACAAAACGATTTTCTGATAAGAATCTTCTGAAACAGTTCTTTCAGTATATATACATGGAATTAAAACAATTCAGAACAGATATTTGGGCTTTTCAAAATATCAAAACAGATCACATTTTAAGCATTTTTAAAGAAATTTTCAAGTTTGAGAGATATGACGCAATTCATGAGGTCAACGTGTAAAGATAACAGGAAAAAAATATGCCATTTTTAATTGGTGTGCAGTCTCCAAGGGATCAACTTATATCTAATATATTCATTTGTCAACTAAAACTGAGCAGTTCCGATTTTTCAAAAGAAATGCTCAGGGTCAAAAACACCATATGTGACCCTGTTCTTTATTTCTCTTGATTTTACCAACAGATCCTGAAGCTGATCTTCCTGAATTGCTCTTTGCACGTTAAAAATCTGTAAATAAAAAAAATATGTTGATTTTTTTAGTTTCTATGTGCATGTGTTCTAATGAAAGCAATGTCTAGCGTTTCATTGTAAATTGAAGCTGTGTTTTAAATTAATAAAATTGTAAATACTGCTTGTATCACCTGAACAGAGCTGATAAGGATACTGAGAGCAAAAATGACAGTATTTTCCCTCGGAGTTGATCTGGCTTGGAATGTACCCTATGTGTCCATAAGCAAAACAGCAACCTAAATTTACAACGATTAAATCAATAAAGCGACTTTTACTGTAATACACATATGGATACTACAAGTTGTTGTAGACAGGACACACAGTCAATTTATGGTTCGAAGATACTTTTGTTTGTCCTCTTTCAAAAAATTATTCTTCTAGCACATATTAACCTTGCATTTCACATAGAAAAATCAAACACAGTAATAAAAATAATAATTGTTTTATTAATAAAAAATCATACCCACATATTAAGAAAAAGATCGTAATTAAGTTATCATTTTTGTTTGTTTACACTGGAAGCCTCGTGAATATCAATGCTTAGAAATCATTTACCTACTTCAAAGTATGTCAATCTCTTTTGTCTCGGTAGATATTTTCGTCATTAATCGTGCTATTTTATTGTCTATATATTCCTCTCTAATAAAGCTTTCATCGTCAAACGTGGTAAATGCATCAACATTTTGAATAGTCCAAGAACTAGGTACACTTTGTGCATATAATGGCTCAGTCCTTGTATCAATTAATTGACAATCATCATCCTTCCTATTTTATGTTTCAAAAGAGAGTAGAGAATTTCATTTTCTATAATAAAATTTCTTTTTGAGAATATAGGTATATTGGAAAACATGCTTTAAGAAAATGCAGTGTCCTTGAATTTTGTAGAATACATGCGTATTTTACTACCTTCGACAACAAATTAAAATAGGACCACAACCCACAATCCAAAAATAAAAAAAAAGGTTTTTAATCTCAGAAACAGATCTTTCATTTTGTAATTCCATGTTTGGGTATAAACGTTGTGCTCTAAATGAAATTTTATAAAAGGCTTCAATTTCAGCCATTTTTTAAAGAAATTTACAGGGTATGGTAAAAGTGACGCATTTATGAGGTCATAATGCATTGACTAGAGGAAAAATTACGTCATCTTCAATAGATACATGATCACCTACAGTCCTGTTGATAAATACTGCATTCTTAACATAAACTGAACAGCTTCATTGTCTCATTCCACGGTCCGGAGTCCGCATATATAGCTCAGTTGCAACCAATATTGACAAAAACGACCACTATTGAAATAAATATTGCATTTCAATCACAAACATAGGTCTCAACCACTATTGAAATACGACCACTTTTGGAATAATTATTTCAATAGTGGTTTGGAATGCACTTTAATACCAAGCATAGGTTGCAACCAATATTGAAATAATGTTCATATTATTGAAAAAAAATTTAAATAGTATTGAAATTATGATTTCAAAAGTGATTTAAATAATTAATTTGATATTTATTGATACCACATTGCAAGACTTGTTGAAATATTTTAACTATTAAAAATACAAGGATTAATTGTTCTTTGTGTTCTCCGACATTTTAATTCATTTATTGAGTTTACTATTAAATTCACTATTGAAATTACACCAACCATTTTAATAAACCTAATATTAGCACTATCTCCCCTAGAAATTTAGCTTTTTAATGTTTTGATGAATAGACATTGGCTTTACTACCCGTATATGTAGTGTAGGTAATCCCATGAATATGAGCGACAATTCAGTTCTATCCTTAATTCCTTTTATTAAAATACCAACGAGGGCTGTCCGGTAAAATCGTGGACAAAGCATTTTTCTCAAAAAGTAATTGGCATACGAAGCTGATATTTTCAGTAAATGTTTATTCATCATATTTAAGTGCATCAATATGTTTTTGATAATATGAGGGCTGTTCAATAAATAATGTCCTGAACTGTATGACATACAATACAGATATCATATGACATTAAGCTTGACTTTCTATCATTATTGAATCTTTAATGAATTTATAACAGTTAATGTGACCACTTTTCATCGCAAAGTTTCATTGTGAGAAGCTGGAAAACAAGGGCTGTTCGAGACACTGCATTATAAATGAAAGGTAAAGAATCAGTAAACTAGAGTAAAAATAAAAGCTTTATTAAAGCTGGTGTAAAACTTGTTAAAAATCCCAAAGAAATATTCACTGAAATACGTAAAATTTTACAACAACCAATGCCTGTTTTATAGGCAAATTAGCAGTCGAATTTCAATGATAAAAAATTATATAATGGGCATCAAAAATGGGTACCGTCCTTGCCAGCAAAATAAAATAACAACTTATGTATTTCAAGAAATAATATTTGATGGTGTATGATTTTACTTTAAGACACATAGAAAATTTGATAGACATTATATCGAGAGTAATTTGCACTGTTTGTAAGAAACGTTTGACGGTAAAAAAAAAACTTAGTACTAAAAGGTTACCCTATATTTGGAAAAATGAGTGGAAACGACAGCGTGTACGAATGTCTTAACAATTATTTTAAAATATCAGTAATTGTAGTTATCAACGTGTTTTTGATATTCAAACAGATGTGGAACTTAAATTTATTGCTTAAACCCCCCAAAACAAAATTTACCATAAGATGTTCTTCATTAAAATAGCGAAAGTCTGACGAGAGGAAAGAAATCCAAAAGCACAAAGAAAGATTCGTGTGCAACTTTCTTAAATATTAGTGGCATTGTTGTTCAAATTCGTATTTGGGGAGATAGTTTTATTTCTGGGGGAGTCTAGAAAGCAACTTTTTTGCAAAAAAATCGAGAGGTTTATTAGAGGAAGGACCCAGATTCAGGAATCCACTACATTTTTCTTCATGGCAGCGTCCAAACCCCGCAAGTCCTGAAGAGTAAAGAGGTTTTTGGGATAAACTCAAAGTTAGTGTTTTTTTTTCACATTAACAATATTCGCCAGATCTTTGACCTTTTTGCTTGTTTCTATTTCCAAACTTGAAAAAAAAACCTTTTAGAAGGAAGAAACAAGTCCAGGAAATCAATGGATCTGCTATTTTCCAGTATACTAAGGGTCATACCCAAAAATGAGTTCTAAAAACAATCAGAAATTGGATAAAAAGTGTTACGGACATGTGTTTTAATTAAAAGAGGTTAATAAGTTAAATCATGAAGACTAAATAATTGAAAAGCGTAGTTTGCTTCCTTCCGAGCACCGAAGGCATTATTTATTGAACAGCCCTCGTATATAGACAAAAATTAAGATTTTATTTTGCTTGAATGTGCACAGGGTACGGTCTTACGGCGCACTGTAAAAACAACAAGATTATATTAGAGAATACACAAAAAATTAATTCGTAATAATAGTTTTCAATACATAAGATTGGGATGAAAGTTATCATAATTCGATTCCTTAATCAATTTTGTGGTCTTTATAAAATTTTCAAGGTGTTTGGTTAATTTTTGTCAGTTTCCCGAGCATTCGAAATGGGAAAGTGGTAAACACAATATACAAAAAATCGCGATTATTGATGACGTTACGGTGCATCGGAAAACAATTCAGTTAGATAAGGGTGTTGTAATGGCACATGAAGAGACTTTGAATGAATGCAGAGGAAAGAAAATATGACAAAAATCACCAGATCATAAGTATATAAATGAAATGAAAGTTTTCTTAGCGAAGTCTTATTGACTGAGTCCCCAAGTAGTACAAAATATACGGACAAACTGCTATTGTGATAGCAAAAGACGCATCGAAAGGTCGTGATAAAATACATCATCCGACTATGCTTTACTTGCATTGGTCAATTTTTTAATGAGCTATGAAGAATTCTCACCTCGTTCAACCACGGCCAGAATAGGAGAGGATCGTATATATTGGGCGTGCTTTGCGACGATGGAACAGCTTTGAATTTTCATATATTGTCAGGAAAAAGAAAGTGGCTCTTACTCTTTGAAATAACGAAAAGTATGCTAGAACGATATCTAGTTTTTGATTTGAACACCTTTTCTTGTTTAACACAAAAAGATCAGAAACAAGTTTTTACAACTTACAATTTCTTCTCCTGCGATAGCTACGATAACGCTACGATAACTTGTGGATAAATGAGATCAAGAAATCCATCAAAATAGGACATTGGTGTGTATCGGGGTATGGTCATTGGTAGGATAAGCGTGTACTATCTACAAGCACTTGTAATAAAACATCTCTTTCTTCATTCACTTTATCATTCTTATGAATTGATAATCAAACTCTTCAGCAACAAATACTTTTTACAATGAAAAAGGCGAACGTTCGATTAGATATTAACTTGCGCAGAGTGATATTTTCTAAAACAGAGGACAACGTAATGCTTCTGTAAATAAATCAAATATTTGAAAAAAAGACTTGCTCTTCTTCCAGAACTGTCAACTTTAAGATATGGTACACTCCAAATATGGATCCCACTTGTTACTCCGTCAGGTCCATATCTCCACTCAAATCCTCTGATTGTATCATCTTCATTGAGCCAGTCGCTGTCCTGAATTTAATTATAATTGCATTAAAATGACACGTTAATTAAAATTTATCGAAGCTCGAACATAAAAGAGTCACTCAGAATTAAATATTTCCATGGGTGTGAATACATGTAAGGAACATGAAGTTCGGTTACAGTACATGTAACTATTGACAGTGTACTCTATCATTTCAAATTTTACTGTGCTGCTCACGTTGCGAGACGCTAAGTAGTGGATAACTGAAAATAATAAATGTAATTGCTACATATCCTTTCGACAGCTGCAACGGTCTCAGTCGCTATTACATGTAAAACTAGCTTAAAGGAATATTTTAGTTGTTTGATTATATCACATCTTTGTAAAACTCAGTTTCAATATCTATACATAAATATTCTGTTAAATTCTTTATAGTATATTTAGGATTATGTGATAGTTTATGATTTTAAAAGCAATAACTACATGTATTAAGGGTTTAAGAAAAATTCTTAGCTAACTAGCTTATATTCAATGTATATCGATATATACTGTATGTTAAAAATTTTAAAACACATTTACTTCAGACTGTAGATACTTTAAAAAGAATCCGAGTAGAAATGATTTTCCAGTTCGATAGGCTCCAGCCACAGAAACTACAACTACAGGGTTATTTCTGACGTCAGGATGCATCATGATAGCTTCCAAATTTTGTTCAACTATCTCCACAGGTCTACTT